AAGAAAAATTGTTTTATTAACAATCATTCATTCAAAGAAATAACTATTCCACCATCTGTTCTATCTATTCATCGTTCTTGTTTATGGATTTGTAAACAATTACGTTCATTGAAAATACCACAACAAGACTACATTATATTCTCTAGTCATCTATTCTTTAATTTTTATAATCTTTGTTCATTAGAATTACCTAAATCTATTGTAAAAATAAATAATAAAAAAATTCCATTAATACAAAATAATCAAATATTTAATATTCCAACAACCGTTACTTCATTAAATAAGTATTGTTTTTCTGAATGTTCATCACTACTATCAATTCAAATTCCTCCTTCAGTTATACTCATTGGTAATTTTGCATTTAAAAAATGTTATTTTCTTCAAATAATTCAACTTCCAATTGAAATACTTTCATTACCAAAATCTTGTTTTGAATTATGTACTTCTCTTCGAACAATTATACTTCCCAATTCTTTAAAATGTTTAAGATATAAATGTTTTGTTAATTGTTATTCTCTACAATCAATTATTATTCCAAACTCAGTAAGTCAAATTGAGTCACATTGTTTTGAAGGTTGTAGGTCATTATCATCTATAACATTATCTACTTCTTTATCTTCAATTAGTTCTAATTGCTTTAGCTTTTGTTCATCTCTTCGTTCTATAACATTACATACTTCAATAGTTGCTATAGAAACATATTCCTTTAAAAATTGTTATTCTCTAACAACAGTTCAAATTAATTCACCATTATGTTCAATAGATCCAACCTCATTTGAAGGATGTATTAATTTACATAAAATATGGTAATATTAAATGAAACAATAATTAACTATTTACTACAATAATTTAATAATAAATTATAATAAAAATAATAAAAAATAATTAATTAATTGAAAAATGCAATAACTTATTTCTAAAACATTTTCTTAGCAACATCCAGATTGTTTTTCAGGACTAACAATAGTAATATTATTCTTTTTTGGAATATTTGCCATAATTTCTTTATTATTATAAATCCCTTTTGCTAATGTTTCAAATATCTCATTTACACCTTCTCCAGTTTTTGCAGAACATCTCATATGTTGATATCCTTTTTCTTTAGCGGCAGCTTCTGCTTGTTCATTTGTAACTTTTGATGGTAAATCGATTTTATTTCCAACAATAATAATGAATGCAATTTCTTGTTCATTTTGATATTCTTGAACCCAATGAGTAATCTAAAACAATATTAATTTCTTCTTTAATATTATAAAAAAAACAAACTTTATTAAATGATTCAATATCAGAAACATCATACACAACAAGACATCCTTGAGTTCCTTTATAATAAGACGATGTTACATTTCGAAACCTTTCTTGACCAGCTAATTAAACAAAATTATTATTTTATTCCTTTTTTTTTTTCTAATTCAAAATAACAAACCAGTATCCCATAGTTGTAATTTAATTGTTAAATCTCCAACTTTAACAAGTTTTGAATTAAAATCAACACCAATTGTAGATATTAATTCGTCATGAAATTTATCCTCACAATATCTTTCCATAATAGCAGTCTTACCAACAGATGGCTCTCCAATAATTAAAACCTTAAATGTGTAATCAGCAGCGTCAGACATTTATTTTATTTTTAAAGATTCTTTATTTTCATTTTACTTTTTTCTCCCCTTCTCTCTTTTTTAAACATCAACGAAATTTCTTTGTTCAGTATTTTCTTTTCAATCTTTTTTTTTTGATTTTTATCACATTTTTAATATAACAAAAATATATTTTATGCTATATATCTCAAAAAAATAATACAGAAAAATAAAAAATGAAATAAAAAATATGAGGTAGGAAAAAAAAACCCTGAGATCTCATTTTAAAAATCACGGGTTCACTAAAAATTTTCAAGTGATATTCGGAATGAGCAGCAGACCATTTGTCACTATTTATGATGGTATCACTGGAGAAGCTGAAAAAACACCAGTTAGACTTCCAGCAGTTTTTCTTGCACCAATTAGAGGAGATGTAGTTCATTTCGTTTATAGAAATCAAAGTAAAAACACTAGACAACCAGAAGGAGTATCAACTGAAGCCGGTAAACAACACTCAGCCATTTCATGGGGAACTGGAAGAGCTGTAGCTAGAATTCCAAGAATTAGTGGATCAGGATCAGGAAGAAACGGACAAGGTGCTTTTGGTAATATGACTAGAAAGGGTCATATGTTCTCTCCACTTAAGAATTTCAGAAAATGGCAAAGAAAAACACCAAAACAAATGAGAAGATTTGCTGTTGCTTCATGTATTGCTGCTTCAGCTGTTCCAGCTCTTGTTTCAGCACGTGGACATCATATTGCTGGAGTACCACAAATCCCATTAGTTGTTAATTCAAAATCAATTTCAGTTATTAAGAAGACCAAACAAGCTGTTTATCTCTTAAAGAAAATTAATGCTTATTCAGATGTTCTTAAAGTTATTGCTTCAAAGACTGTTCGTGCTGGTCAAGGAAAAATGAGAGGAAGAAAGATTAAGGAAAGAAAGGGACCATTAGTTGTTTATGGTAATGATGATCTTCAAGCTGTTAAAGCATTTAGAAATATTCCAGGTGTAGATACATGCCGTGTTGAAAATCTTTCAGTTCTTAATCTTGCACCAGGATGTCATATGGGTAGATTCATTATTTGGACAGAATCAGCATTCAAGAAACTTAACACTATCTTTGGAACTCAAAAGAAGATGGCACAAGGTAAATCAGGATTTAGAATTGCTCATGCTCAAATGGCTGTTCCAGATATGAAGAGAGTTGTTGTTGCTGCTGAAAAAGCTAAACTTCTTAGAGCTAAAATTGTTTTACCAAAAGTACCAAAGAGAACAAATCCACTTAAGAACTGGGCTGCTATGGTCAAATTAAATCCATATGCTAAAATTGCTTCACATAAACTTGCACAAGTTGCTAAAGCACAAGCAGCACATAAAGCACAATATGCAGCTAAAGTTGAAAAGATTCTTGCAGCTAAGAAAGAAGCATTAAATCAATCAGTTGCTAAGAGATTTGTTAAAGCACAAAAAGTAGATGGAAAGGTTGTTAAAGTAAAAGTTGAAAATAATCTTCTTAAAGGTACTGTTAAGAGAACTGCTAAACAAGCTGCTTATATGAAGAAGTATGATGGAATCGTTAAGGCAAATGCCAAGAAATATGCTGAAAAAATTGGATTCTAAGAGAAGATAATAATGAAGTTGTTTTGGTTTCTTTGTATGATTTATTTTTTTTTATAATAATAAAAATAATTATTAATTTTAGAAAAGGAATTATTATAATTCAAAAGAAATATTTTTTATTTGTAATAATTAAAAGTAAAAAAATTTATATGAAAAATAAAAAATATTAATATTTAAATGTATCAAAAGAATATTAGTTTAAATGATTGGAAAGTGGATTTTGATTAACTTATTTGATACCTTTTTTTGATTTGATCCAAATAATAAAAAAGAAGAAGAATAAATAATAAAAGAATATAAGAGTTAATACAATCATTAGAATCAATACATCCTATTTGATTAAATAACGGTATGTATCTGAACAACAACCACCGAAATATTGTCTTTACTGTCTTTTTCTAAAGCATTATTTCTTACACACTGAGCCTTAATATCACTTGTAAATTCTTCTAATAATATTTCTCTAAGAAAGTCTTCACTCACAACTGAAATACCATCACTAGCAACGAGTATTGATTTGATAGTCGAAAGTGATATAATATCTATTGATGGTAAACAAGATAATGGAGGATGAAATTGTTTATCTCCAATTGAACGAGTAATAGTAATTTTACCATTAACACGTAATACACCAGATACGTTTACAATATTTCCACCGTTTTGTTTAATCATTTCAACTTCATCTTTATCATAAAGGTTATGATCTTTACCTATTTTCATTATTTCATCATCTGTAGTTAATACATAAATTGGTGAATCACCACACCTACAAATTATAACATCATTTTCTCTTATAAGAATAATCGATGCAGTAGTCCCTGATTCAGTAGACATAGAAACTAAAGTATGCATTTGTTCAAACACTTTTAATAAATGATCTTTGACCTGATCTGAGTGTACTGAATATCCATCTATTAATGAATAAAATGTTTGCATTGATTTTACTGCAGCTCCTTTTCCATTATGTCCATCAAATACACCTATAAAATCAATGTCATCATATAATTCACCTTTGACCATAAGAGTATCTTCCATATAAACCCTTTTTCCTATTGTTTGAGCTGTACCAATCTCAAATCGTTTTGAACATGAATATTGTTGTTTCTAATTAATAAGTGTTAAAACAAATAACATAAATGTAAAACAAACAAATAATAAAACGTCTTCTTCTGATTGATCAAGTATATTTCCATTTTCTGTTTTTAAAGGAGCATCACCCTTTTTTAATAAATACGAATTTGATAGTTTTGGTAATGAAACTCCTGATGATTTAATTATTTTACCATTAACAAAAACGGGCCGTTCTTGGCCATAAAAAGCACATTTAGTCAATGAGTCTGTAGATCTTATCCTTTTATGTAATTTAGCTTTTTGTTGTTCTTGAATAGGAGATACGTTAGAAGAAGTAGAATATCGTATGAATAAAGACATGAATCAGTCACTGAATTTTAGTTATTTTTTCTTCTTTTGTTTTTTTTTTTATAAAGTAAATAAAAAGAAGAATTATTTTTTTTGATTTTTTCTTTTTTGGAATTCGAAGGTAGTATATTAAAGACACCACACAGAACCCTAAAATAAATTCAGACTTTGAATCACCAGTTATATTCTAGCTGTTGTGTTGCCTTTGGTTAGAAAAACGTCTTATTAACACTGCAAGGTATCAGTGATTATTATTTGTGTTGATGGAACATCACTTATAATGAAAGAATAGAATTTATAAAGAAGATAAGTATTTTACTTGTTAGAATACATACACATTGTTAATATACACACTATCAAAGAAAAGGTATCTAGTTATTGTGGTTGATGCTTAAAAGAAAATTAGTCATAATAACATAGTGATAAAGTATTATTCTTAAAATAAGAAATAAAGAAGATGAGTTTCAATGCCCATTAAAAACAGACAACTAATTAAATGATGATAAACATTTAAGTCTGAGGTATCTGTACTTTAATTCTATATTAAGTAAATGAAGAAATGAAATTTTCACATTTCAACAACTAAAAGCTAAGAACAAGCTAATAGATGTTGAGTAGTCATTCTTAAAGCAAAGTAATTAGTAGTCCTTGTTGATCAAGGAATAATAGAAAATAAATTTATTAACACTTAATTTTTTTAGTATGTAATACCATTCAATTATTATTTTTCCTTCTTTTTGTTATAATAACTGTTTATCTCCGGTAACTACATCTATTAATACTGTAGGTCCTGGACCAACACCTAATACTGTTATTGTTCCTGGACTTATTTCAGTTTTTCCTGCATCAACCACTTCATAATATAATACACCTAACTCTTCACAAGTTTGTTTCATCATTTCAAACTCTTTAACACTTTCTATTTTAACAACTACTTTCTTTGCTCCTTGACTTTCCCATTCAATAATACATTCTGGTGAAACTTCCATTGCTTTTTGAAAGCACCCAACAGCTGCATGAGCACATTGAGAACATTTTTTACCAACAGACATTGGTATATCATTTCGAACACATAACACCATTTTGTATTCCATAAAAATGTAAATAAAAAATAATATTATTTGGATCCTTTTATTCCTATTAACTTAAAGAAAAAATAACAGTAATATTGAAACATAACTTTTTCATTTTATTTTGAAAATGTTCTTATTTCTCTAGTTGGTTCATTTTTATTCACTTTTGTTTGTACACTAGCTAAACCAATAATAGAGAGACTAACAATTATTAAAACAAAAAGTGAAAATCCAACAATATCAGCTATTATAGCAATTAAAAGGTAAATTGCTACACCAATACTATGAACATAAATTGGCTCAATTTTAGCTTTTTCTAAGATAGACCCATCAACTTCTTTAATTATAAGATAAGAAACTAATGTACCTACAAAAAAGAATAAACATGCAAAATTAGCTGGTTCAAATAACGACATAATACTAGCAAAAATAATTCCAATAATAGTATAACTTAGGTAATGTGAAAGAATGTTTTTGGGAATTCGTTCTAATAATACATTGGCATCTTTTGGAACCTCATATTTTAGGTTAAGTATTTCAATGATATCTTGTTGGATTTCTCCAGCAAGATCTCCAAAGAATTTTGTTGCATCAAACTTCATTAAGTATATCTTTTAATTCTGAGTTCTTTATCAATTGATATTTTCCCTCAAAAACTGTTTTTACTTCTGTTTATTTAAATTTAGAAATCGTTTTTGTTTGTTTTTTAAGTTCTAACTTATATGTTCTTTTTGACCTTTTAATTTAACAAGAAACTTTTGTTATTTATTCATTCTTATTTCAGCTTGATTCCATTTAGTTAATGCCTCTTCGTAAGAGCTTGGTTTTTGTTTTTCTGAATATTTATTTGAAATAATTTCTGACAACTCTAAAAGTAACTCTTTTTGTTCATCATTCCATAACTGGGGATTTTCTTCACATATTTTAACAAACGGTTTAGTTGATATTTTTCCCCAAACCCTTTTTGTTGGTTTATTTTTTAATTCGTTGATGAGAATTTTAAAAGTTAAAGTAAGTGTTGAAATAACCTCTTGATTGAGTATTGTTGCTTTATCAAATTCTCCAGTTTCATTTGTTAAACGTGCCTTTTTGAGAGAAGAAGAAATTGATTTAATATTTTCAATAGAAGAAGTAATACCTTTTCCAAATTCAAAGGCATCTTGAGAGAGAATTTGTTTATATTTTAAGATTTGACTATACTTTGTAGCAATTTGAGGTTGTACAAATGATATACAATAAGACTGCATTGTTTCAATTAAGGATATTTCATCACCAACCACTTCACAAATATTTTCGTTTGGTTCATTTGTCATCAATTTTTCAACGACTCTTAGATATTGCTGTTGAGTCTCATCAGTTATCAGTTTCTTCTTATCGCATAAGTTATCTTTTAAAAAAAGTTTAAAAAGAAAACAAAATACAAACAGTTAAACATTCTTTGAGTTTTCTTACTATCCGGTGCCAATACATTTTTCTTTCAATAGAGTCTGAAAGTACATCAAGAATTTTAGATACGTCTTTGGCTTCAATATGTTTTTCATCTTTTGCATCAGTTGTTCGTCTTTTCATTGTAAAGGAATTTAACAAAGGAAAAAAAAAGAGAAAAAATAAAAAGAAAGAAAAAGAAAAAATAATAGTATAATTTATAATAAAATAATAATATGAACTAATTTTGTTTATTTGAAGAGCCAAAAATACAAGTTTTGAAGAAAGAAAAGAAGACAAATCTGGAATCGAAGTAATGTTCTCGGATTTCCTTTCAACACCACTTGATAGTAGTTCACCTAGAATGGCTTATAGTGCATCTCCAAGATCGAGAAAACCAGCTATATATAGAGGAACACCACCAACATTCACATCAACATTAAGGTGCGTTCAGTCCGGTACAGAAATTGGATTACCAGAAGAAACATGGGAAATAAATATTGAGCCTGACGGTAATATTAAGAAAGAAGGTAAGGCACTTAATTCTGTTTGTTAATTATTTTGAATAACTTTAAAATGATGAATTAAATAAAATATGAATTTTTTATTTTTAACAAATAAATTACTTATTTAATAGGAATTAATAGAACCATTACCTCGATTTGCAATTGGGATTGCTCAAACACGTGGTATAAGAGAAAGTATGGAAGATGTTATATCTACTTGTCATTTAGAACGAAACAAAGATTTAGTTGGAATGTTTGATGGGCATAATGGAGATTCAGCTGCTCGAATAGCAGCTACTTTATTAAAACAAGATACCAAAAATTATACATTACTTGATGACATTCACTTTATTGATTTATTTAATCATTTACAAAAGAAGATTGTTTCACAAACACAAAGTGGAACTACTGCAACAGTACTTTATCTAGGATGTGAAATAGTTAAAATAGCATATGTAGGGGATTGTTCTGTGTATTTAATTGATAGTAATGGAATAAATAAAATCACTGTACCACATCATTGTGGAAATATTCTCGAAGAAAAAAGGATATTAACAAGTGGTGGAACGATAGAAGATATTGGAGGAATAAGACGTGTAAATGGAATAATTAATATTACTAGAAGTTTAGGTGATAAAGAACTTCATCCTCCATTATCATTTGAACCAGAGATATGTTCAGTTAATATAAAAAAAGGATTGAGTCATATTGTAATAACAAGTGATGGTGCTGATACAGTAGAGTTTGTGTTCCAATAATACTATTTATTTTAATGAAATAATTAATTTATTATAGTGAAAAAGAACTGGAAAAGATGATTAGAAGATCTCCAACTGTTTCTATTGCTGCTGCAGCAATTAGAAATGAGGCATTTAAACAAAAAAGTAAAGACAATATTTCTGTTATTGTAGTTGATATGAAATTTAGTTCATATGAAAGAAAAACAACATCACCTTTAGTAGATGATTTATGTATTGCAGGTGGTGATGAAGACAATCCATTTGATTTTTAAAGGGTATCAACAATAATTTATCCCTTTTAGAGATTAAAAAAAGAGTATCAAACTCGTTAATCTTTTGTTCAAAAAAAGAATGAAAGATTACTAATAGTTTAATTGAATTAATTGTTTTTTAAGTTCAAATTTATTTTCAGCAATACTACGAATTGTTAATAAACTTTTATCTACTGGAACTGTTTCATTTCCAACAGCTTCTCCTAAGGTTTCTAATAAATCATCCATTGCTTGGATTTTACTTTGAATTTTGAATTGTTCCATTTGTTGTTTATTTATTTGTTTTTTGAAATCTTCTATAAGAGATATATCGTTAGGTAGTGGATTATTAGAGATCCATTGTTGTAATGAGTCTATTTCTTTTTTTGTTTGATTAATTGAATAAAGAATAGAATCTTTCATTTGTTGAATTGGACCTTTTTTCATTAAATTATTTTGAACATTTTCTTTGTTGGTATAGCATTGACTATAAGGTAAAATGTAACTATAACTTTCATTCGAGGTGGTACATTCTTCTTTAGTTTGTTTATATTTAGTAAAAGTATTATTTTGTTGTTTTTGTAATTTTGTTGGATTTGTTAATGTCTTTTCTTTGCTGTGGTCATAGTCCTGTAAGTAATAATCTGTTATATTAGTATTAGAAATTTTGGTACTTAGTTTAGTGTCGTTTTGGTATTGTTGAGATGTTATAAATGTAGAAGATTGTGGGGATGATAAAGGTTTTGACAGAGAGGGATATTGATTTGGAGTATATTGTGGGTGATAATATGGTAAATAAGGATTGTGTATGTTTTGGTATGAAGGATATTGATTTTGATAAGGACAATATTGAGTAGTTGAAGGTATTGATTGTTGATAATTTGGATTGTTTGTTGAGTGTAATAAGTTTGTTTGTTGAGTGAGGTATTGTTGATAAGAGGTAGTTGGATTTGGAGTGAATAAATTTGGTTGAGAATAAGGGAAAGGGGATAGTTGAGAATTTTTACGAACAGGAGGTACTGAACCAAAATATGCTAATAGTCCTTCAAGTAGTATCAGTAAATCTGTTGAACTGTTCCATTGTTGTTGTACATTTTGGATAAAACCATCTTTTTTTACAAAAGGATGATTTTTTACGATTTCCATTCCTTGAGAGATGAAGCAAGATAGTTCAGGGGGGGATAATGGATAGTTATAAGTAAAGGCTATTAACATTGGAACTCCAAACACTTTTCTTTCATAAACAATTGGAAGGAAACCTTCTAAAGAAATGTATTGATTTGAAGAATATTTAGACAAAGTAATACCAAGTTTTAATTTAGGATATTTAATTTGAAGTCGTTTAATGTCTTTAGTGACACTGTCACAGTCCTTATAAAATTCTCTTACAGAGGAGAGGAAGAAATTAATTTCTTGCATAGATTAATTAACAAAATTAATACTAAGTTCTTTTGGCAATTTCTTTTTTTTGATTTTAATTTTAAAAAATATATTAAAATATGATTTAAATATGATATTTCAATTAGAAATAATATTCTTCTGTTATTAGAACCAACTCAATCCAATTACATCAGCAACAAATTGGACTAGTGCAAATGAAAAACATATGATAGCAATTAACAAGATTGGCCATGCCCAATATGATGATGAATATTTACCACTAAATGAAGTGACATATGTTTTACTTCCCCATTTTCTTCTAATAATAAATTTACTATATATTTGTAATACTCCTGGAATAATGAATAATAAAAAGAATCCAAAAATTCCTGCAAAATTAAAAATAACTTCTAAATCTCCTTTAATTGCACCAGCAATTAAAGGAGGAACAGCTGCAACTAAACGACTAGAATATAACCATATTTTAGGACTTTTTTCTTTCCATTGTTTTGGAACCATTTGAAGTAAGTTAGAAGATAATGTTACACAAACTAATGGATATTCTGATGTTAGGTTAATTGCTGGGAATAATAATATCACCCATTGAACAACCACTCCATACCATTTTGCAGAACTACCATCATCACATACTCCAAATCCACCATTACATCCAGTAAAACCTAACCAATTATGAGTCACAGGTGTTCTTGTTGCATCTCCAAAACAAAATGAACAGGCAAATCCAATAATTACATATAAAATGGTTGCAGTAGTAATTCCTAATACAACAATTCTTCTAAGATGATTTTTTGGTTTAGTTGGAGTTACAACATCTGGTAAATTTTGATGACATGCTAATGCCACACTACAAGAACTAAACAAAGTTCCAAATCCTCCAATATCTATGAAGAAAGTCAATGTTGATTTTGATGGTGGAACGATTACATATGTACCTTTTACTGAATTATAAATGACATGAATTATACATGTTAAAGCCATAACTCCGAAACAGAAAAACCTCCAACACGTTAATATGTTTTGTAAAATTGCTTGTTCAGCTACTCCCATTAATGACAATGGAATAACAATTAATGCAAACAATACTATTCCAGATAAGTAAGTCAAATGACATGGCCCAAAAAGATCCCAATCTCCCATTACAATTGAACATTCACCAAATTTACTTAATGGGTATTTCCATAATATCATTGTTACTGAAGAACTGAACACACTGGAATATGCCCATAATGCACCATAACAAAAAAATGATAAAATAATAATTGAAGTCATTTTACCTCCTTTACCAAAAAAAATAGCAGACATCCTTGTATAATTATAAACTTCATACTCTATTTCATTTTGAGGTCGTTGGGCATTTCTACTTCTTCTATAAGTTTCCATAACCCCACTTGAACGAGCCATATTTTCAAGAACCCATATAGCTGTAACAATACTCATTAAATAAAAGAATAACGTTGTTATTAAAGATAACCCAAGTCCAGCATTTTCAAAAGCATAAGGTAATCCAAATACTCCTGTACCTACAATATAATTAATTAAAATTCCAAATGTTTGTAATGGTGATATAGTATGTACATTAATTGACTTAGATACTATCTCTTGTTCCTCTTCTATTTCTTTTAAATTTTCTTCAATATCACTTGAGTCAGAGTTGAGAGGTAAAGTTTCTGAGTTATCAACCTTTTCATTGTCATCAACTAATACCGCAGTTTCTTGGTGATCAGTAGAGGGCTCGTTCGGAAAAGAGCTTGACATCTGTTAGTACATTTCAAGATCGATCCAGAAAAGTATTTCGAAGCTACTAATTGTGTACGACTTTTAGTTTTATCTTCTAGAATGTCTTTATTAATTTAAGGAGACTATTCATTGAATTGTCACATTATTTTTTCTTATTTATATTAATAAAAAAATAATTTATTTTTTATTCTACTTAAAAAAACGAAAATTAAAAAGTGAATAGAAAAACAGGAATTTGGAAAAATGAAAAGCAAGAAACCAATTACCACTCCAAAACATCTATCTGACAACCTCCTAAACAAAAGACTATTTGAAACAATGCCTTACTGTTTTTCTGAAAGTGGGAGTATTAGAGAACCTTTCTATAATATAGGCAAAGATTTTCATGATTATTCTACATCTTTTCCTAGTAGGAAAAGTTCAGGAGATCCAAGTGATGATGATTATGATGAGAGTGAGTCTGATTGCCATAACGAAACAGACGAAGAATATCCAGACTTATCAAGTGATGATGAAAAGACTATTGAGGATAATGGTGAGATTGATACAGTTATTACTGAAGATAATTACGAAGAAATTGTAAATAGACTTAAACAAATGGTTTTAAGCCAAATAATTTCACAACATAAAAGTGAACAAACAAAGTTACATCAAAAATTTATAGAGTGTTGTTCTATTATTAATACAGAAAAGGATGATATCGTCCATGATATGGAATTGTTTGGATTAGGTATTCTTGACAAAGATAAAATTAATGATACTCTTAGTTGTCTCGAAAATACAGTCAATGACCTACAGAGGAATTTTGAAGATAAAAAATATATTAATACAATTAATTAAATGTTTATTAAATCTAATTTTTGTAATTTTTATATTTAAAACATCAATTTAAATAATTTTTTGATTGTTTATTAATTTAATTTATACTATACTTTTGTTATTTAAAAGATCAAAAAGTAATGAAAAAAGAGTTTAAAATGAATGTGTTAATATTCAGCTCAGTTGGTTTATCAGTATTTTATTGAATATTGATAGTAAGACGGATCTAGGTTTATTTGTTTAGGCTGTTGGTGTTGAGGCTGAATAAGAGTGGTAAAGGGTTGTTGGTAAGTAACTGGTTGATGGAAAGGATAAACTAAATCAGGTTGTTGGTTTTGTGATGGTTTAAAAGGAGGATTGGGGGATTGTTGGGTTAAGCTTTCATTTTCTAATTTTGTTTGACTCTCCAATTTTCTGCTATGGTTAGTAGTTTGAGAAGAAGGGATAGTTGGTGGATGAACTGTTTGCTCAACTTCACTATGAATAGGGGTTGATGAAAGTGGGTGTGTTGGTGTATGTGGTTGGTTTTCTTGATTTAAACAAGGGCATGTTTTGTCACAACAATATTGATGGTTATAAGATGATGATGGTTGTTCAATTGAATTAAATTGGTTGAAGAAATAAGGAGGAATTCCATTTACATTATAAGGCTGAGGATAATACACATAAGGGAAATAAAAATAAGGATATTGATACATCAAGTTTTGATATGAAATTTGTTTTTGGATAAAATCCTTCATATCTTTTTGTTGATGTTTAATAAAATGTTTTATTTTTTTTTCATGAACTTCGAATTTTTTTTTAGGTACTTCATATTGATTAAGTGTTTCTTCTTTTTGAATTTGTTGTATAATTTTATTAACTTTTTTTTCGACTTTGTAGTCAATGTAAGCATCAAGAATCTTTTTTTGATGAGAACCTAAACTTTTCTTTAATTTTTTCCATTCATTTTTTAATTTAGTATTTGGGTTCTTCTTTCTTTTTGTTTTTTCTTCTTTTTTCTCTATATCTTCTTTTGCACTAGCTTTGTCTTGAATAACTGGTGCACAAATAATTGGTTTAACTTCTGTATAACTTGGTTTATTATTCCACTCTGTAAATATTAAACCGCTTCCTTCCTTTGTTTCATTTTCTTCATTACACTCTTCCTTTTCTAATATCGGTTCTTTACTTATTTCTTCTTTTTCTTCAAAACAAAAATTATTTTGTTGTCTTTGGTTAATACATTCTTGTGTATTTTCTAATAAGTTAGTAACTTCTGGTGGCTCTTTGATCTTGTTTTCTGTATTTTGAATTTGTTGATTAATTTGTTCTATTTCATTAACTGTAAATGCCATTTTTTCTTGATTTTTATTTCTTTTTTAGATTTTTAGTTCTATTTAAATGTTTCATTAAAAAAGTTATTGAATTGTATTTTTATTAATTTTATTTATTATAAAAAAAAATTCCTCATTCTTTTTTAAGTTTTCTTGAGTTTATCATACACTTTTTTATTTTTTTTTTTATTCTCAAATAGCCTTTTTGAATGTAACTATATTCTTTTAAAATATAAGTTCAAAGGTGATAAGTGTGTTTTCATTTTCTAAAAGGAAAAACTAAAATAATGATGTAATAATATAAGTAA